GATAGAAATTCTATAATTCCATTTGGCTTATAATAAATTCTCAAAAACTTAAATATCTTCGTTATTTTTTTTTTGACGGGACGGGAAAACTAGTTTATCTGCAATTCAAATGTTAAATAGATTTGAAACTTTCCTTTCCTCGTAACAGGCATTTGATACTTTTATTTGGAATTAATAGGATTCTTACCTTTTTGTGTAAAAAAATCATGGTGCCAACAGGAACCGACTGTTTTAATAATTTATAGATATTTACTAAGTTTGGTGTATTTTGCTACCGGGCCACACAAGGAGGCGAAAACGGTGACAATTTACCAAAAGAGGAGGCCCTCTCTACCTTGTTTTAAAACTTCATATCTCAAACAATTTTCGGATCTTTTCTTGTAGCGATTTTCCAAGCGTAGCTTAGATGTGGTACAAGGCCGAAAGTATGGGGCACCCAGTGAAGATCGAACCCACCACTCATTCGTAATTGTGCTAGCGAGACAAGCTTGCTAACCATTACACCCCAGCTAGGCGCCCAGGTTATTTTCTAAGCGTGGCTTAGATGTGGCACAAGGACGAAAGTATGAGACACCTAGTGAGGATCGAACTCACTTTTCAGTCATAACTGATCTAGCGCGACAAGTCTGCTAACCATTACACCACGCCGAGGTGCCCCGGATCTTTTTTTGTAATTCACTCCAAATAATGTAAAGTTATTTATCACAAATATTAATTAATTCACCCCAAGAAATTATAAATTTTAAGTTTGTTTTTTTATTCAATTTTTGGCACTTTTGAAATTATAAATTTGATATCAAAGCTGGTTCGTTTTGAGATTTTTTTTTTTCACCCCACCAAAAAATAATTTATATTTACTAAAAATTTACACCAAATTCTCCCAGACCGAGGCCTTTCCATTGCACTCCGGTTGGGTTGACCTTTGCGATCGCCCCAAATGTGGTAGACCCGGTGCGCTATTTCTAAGTGTGAGGTCCTCGTCCGCGCTCACTCCGATAAACAAGCCAGGAACAGATTTTCTTTCTTTCTTTTTTTTTTTAAATTATAAAAAAAATTCCTTGTAAGTCCCTCGAATATCATCCGCACTTACGAAATGTGAATAAATTCCTGATTTTTGGTAATTTTACTATTTTGAGAATTGGAGTTATTGCGAGGCATGCTATTTTGATTTAAAATTTCTAATTTGAAAATAGTGCCAAAAATTTAATAAAACAACAAACTTTGATTTAAAATTTATAATTTCTTGGGGAGAATTGATATTTGCGACAAGTATCTTGAAATTATTTGGGATGAATTAACAGAAAAAGTCCTGTTATTTTTATTATTATTATTATTAAATTTTTGGCACTCTTTTCAAATTAGAAATTTAAATCAAAATTTGTTTAGCTTGCCATGAAGTTGCTGGAATCAATACAAGAATGTAACAACAAGGAGATTGGCGTTTTCGCTTTTTACAGAGAGTAAATATTCTTCCTATGTCGATGAAGAACGTGATATGAGTTTGAGCTTAATAGATCAACAGGATAGATGGAGCTACCGTCTCAAAAAACGCCGTGAAGAGAAACTACTAAGGAAAGGAAAATGGCTTCAAGGGTCATGATTTCCCGACCCTAAAATCATATTATTTATTTATTTCTAGTCAAAGAATATAACCGCTATAAACTTTTGTGAGGAAGACCTTAAGATGAATCCTTGTACCGTTGTGGATTGGGTGTCCTACCTCTTTTTTATTTTGGAATAAAATTAATATTTTGGCGGGTGAATTAACAGAAAAGATCCCAATTTTCTACGCCCGCTTTTACGAAGAATCCATCAGAATGTTTGACCTGAAACTACTGATTTGGTTAAATAACAAACTGAAAATATTCACAAAGAAAAAGGCTGAACCAATAAAATATTCACCGTTAGAATTTCTGGGATGGTGAGCTGTCATTATTCACACAATTTACAGAGGACTTTGTTGTTGTTATCACAACATTTGGGACGTTGTGTACTCCGGCCTTCATGTTGTGTACTCCGGCCTTCATGTTGTGTACTCCGGCCTTCACGTGTTTCTCGATACGGGTAACTTTCATAGAATTTCGAACTGAACCCTTTATTTAATCTACAGGGGTGTATTGTTCTTGTTCCGCTGTCCATGTCTAGGGATATCTTGGTTTTCTAGTACTGCTCACCCAGTCAAGATAGAGTCGAAAAGGTTCTCTGCGTCCTTGTAGGTGATAAATTATTATCCACCCTGCAACCACACTCTAACAAACGAAACGTCGCAAGACTCTCGTTACACAATCGCTTTTTCCATAGAATGTCTTCAAACGAACTACATTCTTTAGTTTCACCAGTTCTAACCTTTACGGCTAAAACCCGTCATGCCACTCACATTGTAGCGAACCGCCATCATTTCTTTTAAAGTATTCGATCGATGAAATCAAATCAATCAATTTCTATAAACTATATCCAATTCAAAATGCAATTTTTGAAAGCTCTATCTTTGTACAAATCACAAATATATTAGATTTCTATTAATTAGAAATAAATTAGTCTGGCCCACCAGTTCTAATCTTTACATCTAAGACTGTTATGCCACGTAGATTTTAGCGAACCACCATTATTTTCGCATTGCTTCGATGAAATGAAATCAATCAATTTCAATGAACTATATTTAATTCAAGAGCCTTTTTCTTTAAAAAAAAATCTGTATATTTGTGCAAATCACACAGATATTAGATTTCTATTAATTAGAAATAGATCAGTCAGGTTCACCAGTTTTAAACTTTCAGGCTAAGTCCCAACATGACACGCAGATTATAAAGAACCTCATCCCAACTCCTTCGTATTCCATTCATGAAATGAAATCACTCAAATTATATAAATTATATTCATTTCAAAAAGCAATTTTTGAAAGCTCTATATTTGTACAAATCACACATATATTAGATTTCTATTAATTTGGAATAGATCAGTTTGGTCCACCAATTCTAACCTTCATGTCACGCACATTGTAGTAAACCACCCCCGCTCCCATTAGTGAAATGTAGTTTCCATTCGAACTGCTTACTTCCCACGAAATATTGCTTTCTGTAACCGACTTTCAAGAGGATTCTTCTCGATCACTACAGTATTGATTTGTTCAAGTCTAGAGTCAAACACTTTCTTCTTTCCATATCCGCATAAAACTTTGTCTCTTACTCTGTAATCCTCTACCTCGAGTGGTTCTTGGACCTTGTACAAGGTGAACACCATTGTAAAAAAAAAAAAAAAAAAAAAAAAAAGTTATTACTCGCCTTGTTTCGACTGAGTTTAAATCTATACAACAGGGTCCCGGGATTAGATTGTCAATTATTATGTCGCGAAATTCACGAATCAACTCTAAGCTATTTTCCCGTTGTGACCTCATCCGCAATGGTGCAGTGCAAGACCCCATCAGATAAGAAAAAGACCATTGGAAGGCAACAATTTTTCTACTACTCGACAACAAGGTACGACTTTAAGCAAAAGAAGAGGTAAACCGAGAATGGATTGGAAGGTCCTTCGCAGTGACTCAACAATCTGCCCGGAACAGAGGCATATGAAAGGAGCTGGTCAGGTGTTCAAATGCGCATGTCCTGACGACTATCCCTGGTCATGTGACTGATGATAATTATAATAAAAACAAATTCTATCATGCAGCAAAATGACATCATTTCTAGACACTAAACTGAATGCTGTCTGTTAGAAATAGATTACACCTGTCTAGAGGAAATAAATAAATAAAGGGCTTTACTCGTGAGAGATTTTAGCCTGATTTTAATATTTTTGATGTCCAAAAATCCAAAACATCCAAACATCGCACACATTTTTGCTCTGCACACCCAGATTTATCTCTATCGAAATCAGCCAAATTACAAAACATTCCGTGATTGATTTCTTCTTCTTCTTCTTCTTCTTCTTCTTCTTCTTCTTCTTCTTCTTCTTCACTATATATACGGTGTTTTTCTCTGTCCGTTTTGCTTTCAATCTGTCTTGTGATCATCAAATGTCAACTGTCACTTCCAATCGTGTCATTTTTTATTCCATTTTCTCGTCGTTGCTCACATGTTCAACCATTCTCATTATCCGACAGAAATGTTCTTCTACAGAAGTAGAAGAACATTTCTGCCGCTTCAAGTCTTTTCTTTATCTGTGAGAAGATTGTCCCGTATTCACTGACATATAGGAAGACTGATATTACCGAACCGTTCAGTACTCTTTTTCTGTTACGTAATATCAGTTTAAAACAATTGCAGACAATAAAACCCTCAATGAAAACCCAGTCATGATATCTTAGAGATTTGATGAGAACATCCGTGCGTAATACAAACGGTTGTCTGAATGGCTCTTTCAATAAATACATATTAAAAAGCATTAATAATTGTTTTATGACTTTACTGGGCACATTTCATTCAATGAAGTCAGCTCAGAAAGTCTCTGGTGTATTTAATTATTGAAATGGTTTTTGAACGTAATTCGATCAAAATACTCATTTTACGCAATATAGCAAATTTCAATAACGCAAAAACGAAAGAAGAGAATGAAAAATAGATTGCATTTTCGAAATCAGCACCACAAAATTACTTAATATCTAATCTGGCCATAGTGCATGCTCGGATTCCCGTTTCTCTCTGTCATACTCGGCAGGTCGGAGTTATCGCAGTTTATGTCGTCACAAATCTAATTAATATAGGTCTTGGGTTATCGCCCTTCGCTAGCACTTTCTTGTGTAAACTCCCACAAAAGAACCCCTAACAATTTCAAAATTTCTCTGCCCTGCAAAACTGAATCTACAATGTTTCATGATTGTCTGATACTGAACGAGGGTTCCAGTACAATCGTTTATTGGAGGCTTAAAGCCACATCACGTTGAAACACCGGTTCTCGTACGGTCACCGAAGTTAAGCAACGTCGAGCCTGGTCAGTAACTAGATGGGTGACTGCTTCGGAATACCAGATGTTGTGCGCTTGGATATGCGGGCGATATAATAGGTTTACGGCCACATCACGTTGAAACACCAATTCTCGTACGATCACCGAAACTAAGCAACGTCGAGTCTGGTCAGTACCTAAATGGGTGACCGCTTGGGAACACCAGATCATGGACGTGAGTGTGGTAGAATTGATAATGGCTCGGAATTGTCAAGTTCCAATTCTCATTGAGTCCGTTATATTCCCTTATGCGCAAATACCCTTGGGAAAGGTATGAATCTACGTCTTTTTCCCCCAGCTATGGATTAATTAGTAAGACTTGTATCACTAAACCATGATTATCAAAAAAAAACTTATAATCTAAAAAAAATTCTGGATTTAAATAACCTACAAACAGTTGATAAGCCGTAGAAAACGAATCAATCAATCAACAATTATTCATTGATCAGACGATCTCTGCTAGTAATATGCAAAGTCTCCTCTTAGCATGGCAGGGTAGGCTCTGATTGACCATGTCTTCTGGAGTATAGCCGTATTCATGTCGCTTGATTAATTGGGGGTTACAATCCGCATTGCGACCAGAAACATTTTTTCTCATATTTCTATAGATTAATAATCATTAATGTCAAAAATAAAATAATTTTTTTAGAAAAGTTAATAGCAAAGTCCAGTTTGCTATGTAAATTTATTGTAAACTGATCCCCCTACGGAAGTCAAAACAAATATGCTCATACGACGTGATTTTATAACATTTAAAAAAATATTTTTAAGTCGTAATCTGGAGTGCGTAATCCTATCTATCTATCTATCTATCTATCTATCTATCTATCTATCTATCTATCTTCTAGATAAATAAACGGCAAATTCTGTCTGTCTGTCCGCGTGTCTGAAAACCCTCTAACTTGCTACACTTGCTTTACATAGACATATATCTTTTTAGAATCAGGATGATTCAAAATCTACCATTCATCATCTGGTGTTTGAACATCTAGCATTGGGATGTGTGTCCAAATGAGGAAGGAACAGTTCAAAATTCAAATTTTAAAGTAACTAAAATAAATTAGTGATTTCAAAAGATTTTTAATTTATATTAGTTTAAAGTAACACAAAAACTTTGTGAATTTTAAAAAACATTGTTTTAAATTCAATTTAAAATATCTCCAAAACTTTGTGAATTGAGGAAATTAAATTTTATTTCTTCAAAATGCCAAGGAATCAGAGTCGAAATGAGAGGTTTCGTGACGTGATTTGAAGAACTCAATTTTCAGCCTGAATTTGAATTTCGGCCCAAATCAGACTTTCGGGCCAAAGTGGTTTTTTGGCCAGAATTGGATTTATAGCCCGAATCAGATTTGAAGTGCTATGGAGTGAACTGAGGAATTTAAAATTATTTCTTTCAAAATTATCATTGCTGTTTTCTAAGCTGGACCAGAGGTCACTTTAGTTTTGAACCGGAGACCCAATTAGCCTAGCTTAAAATTCTGTTTGGAATGCGGCTTTTAAGCTAGTATATGATAAAAGAATTCCAGATTACGAATTTCAATTTTTTTTACGTTTTAATATATCGCGTGTTATGAGCATTTTTTTTTAGTTTTGGTTTTCACAGAGGAGGACCAATTTACAATTAATTTACATAGCAAACTAGACCACCAATAAAATAATTTATAAAATTTAATTGTTTTTTATTGTTGGAGTGTACGTTAGCGATCTGGAATGCGTAATATGAAAAAAGAAATTTGAGTGAAAGAGAAAATTATTTTTCTTCGCAGTGACAATTGTCGAATTCCACCTTGGTTTATGTCCAGAGTGGCGTCCCAGTCAGTTCGTCACAAGACTGTTGGAAATATTACGGATTTACCCATACTGTCCTTGGCCTGTTGACAATGCTTGTTTCTCAGTGGTTGTCATTTAAGGTGCCCCGACTGTTGGCTGCAGGGCAAGAAAGAGAAAGGATAAAAAGATTAATGAAAAGAAACTAGAGAATGGAGACAGTGATATTAATGCTGACAGAAATAGAAAAAATATAAGAAGCGAAAATGGTGCAGTAACATAAAGGTTGTCGAAAATGAAGAAGAAAAAAACGAGGGAGAAAAGATAGTTGGAAATGGATGAAGCAGACGGTCGAGGTAAATATGATGAGAGAAGGTAAGAGCAAAGTGTAAGTGTAGAGGGGGGGAAGAGGAGGAAGAGGAGGAGGGAAATGGGAATTATGGAAAAGACTGAAGTGTGTGAGAGAGAGAAAGAGTGAGAATAAAGGACGAATAAAAAGAGCATATAAACGGAAAGTAGAAAGGAGTAGTGGGTAGAGAGGGGAAAAGAAGAGAGTAGTAAGAGAGTTGAGGAAAAGATGGCGGGGAGGAGAAAGCAGATATAATGATGAATAAGAGAGTGAGAAGTTAACAGATAGAGAAAGAAAAGGCGAATGAAAGAAGATAGGTAAAAAAAAGAGAGTTTAATTAAGAAATAAAGAAAATGAAGGAGGGATAAAATATTAGAATTGAAGTAAAGAAAAATGCATAACAGAGGATGAAATGGAGAAAAAATACCCAGGGATTTCGAGGAAGGGTGGAGCCAATACATTATGAAAAAAGATTAACTATTAAGATGGGTTTTTAATGAATAAAAAATGCAAAAAGTGGGAGGTGGAAATGGCGGATGACGGAAAGAAAAGTGCAAAAAGAGTTTATGTCTCTTGATGGTGAATTTAAAAAGAAGTCGAAAGATTTAAGATAATGAAGAGAAAAAGGAAACAAAAAATGAAGTAAACCTATAGAAAAGACGGCTAACAATAGGGAAATAAAAACTAACTGAAAAAGGATACGAACAAGTTAAAAAATTCAGATCTTTTAGCTAGTGTCGTAAATTCCATCCTCCTTTGGAACCCCACAGTTATAGCCTTGTGTCAAACTAAGATAAAGCATAGCAAATAACTACGTATGTGTGAATTGTGTCTAACTTATCTAATTCATTTACTGAGTCGATGAGAAAAGAAGAAAGTAGGGAAAAAAAGGAGGAAAATAGACGTAGAAAAAAAAAAATGAGAAAAGAAGTAGAAAAAAAACGAAGAGGAAAATAGACGTAGAAAAAGACGAGGAAAAAAGAAGTAGAAAAAAGTGGAGGAAAATATATGTAAAAAAAGATGAGAAAAGAAGTAGAAAAAAGAAGAGGAAAATAGACGTAGAAAAAGACGAGGAAAAAGAACAAAAAAGAGAAGAAAGATAAATATAAAAGTGTAAGAAAAAGAGAAGGAAAATAGATGTAGGAAAAGATGAAGAAAAAAGAGGAGTAAAAAGTAGTAAGCAAAAGAGAGGATGAAAAAGAAGCAGACAAAGAAGAGGAGAAAGGAAATCGAAAAACGAGAAGAAAAAGTAATAGAAAAAGAGGATGAAAAAGTAGAAAACGTGTAGAAAAAAAGGATGAAAAAAGAGGTAGAAAAGCAGAAGAAAATAGATGAGGAAAATGCGGAATAAAATTTTCAGTTGAAGTTACTGGAAGATTTAAAAAGAAAAAATAGTAGCTACAAAGGAAGAATGCAAAGGAAAGAAAGAAAGAATTTAAAACAATCGATGTAATTTCTAGAGAGAAAAGAACATCGAGGAAAACAGAGGTGAATGAAAATGAAAAAAAGAGGGTAAAAATCAGGAAAAGAAAGCTAGAAAGTATATAGACAGGTGTGAGAGCGAATGAAAAATCACAGAACGAAAACGAAAATAAAAAAAAATGGTGAAATCGGAAGGAAAGAAAAGAAGAAGCTGCATTGAAGAAATAAAGAAAGAGGGTCGAGTAAAAAAAATGGATAATCATGAGAAGAAGAAGAAGAAGAAGAAGAAGAAGAAGAAGAAGAAGAAGAAGAAGAAGAAGAGGAGGAGGAGGAGGAGTAAGAGGATTGGAGTTGAGGAGTGATGTCGAAGGTAATGACCCACTTCTTCGCCCAGCTTGTTAAATAGGACCTGTTTGGTGTAGCACCTCGGAAACGATCCGTACAAATCAGTTCTTCACTTGGCCAATGCAGTAATTTCTCACAATGTCACAAGTTCTACAGACCTCAGCAGGTTCATGTTCCCCGACTGCTGATCGTCGTCAGGAGATGAGGACATTTTTTTTTTTTTTTTCAGGAGTGAAGGTAGGGGAGACTTGAAACGGGGATGATGAGCCGGGGTATCAGCAACACCCACGGCAGTAGCAACGGCATCCAATGAGGCTCGATCTACTTGGAAGAAGAATAAAGCGCAGCTGAGAGAGAGAAGGGGGGGGCAAGAAAGATAAAAAGAAATAGAGAAAAACTGAAAATGATATAAAAAGAAAGAAAGAAAGAAAGAAAGAAAGAAAGAAAGAAAGAAAGAAAGAAAGAAAGAAAGAAAGAAAGAGAAAAAACGAAAATTGAACAGAAAGACGAAGAGGTAGAAAAAAACTGAAAGTTCATAGAAAGAAAGAAAGAAAGAAAGAAAGAAAGAAAGAAAGAAAGAAAGAAAGAAAGAAAATGAGACAGAGAAAAACTGGAAATTCAATAAAAAGAAAGAAAAAAGAAGAAAGAAAGAAAAATAGAGAAAAAGTGAAAACTGAATTGAAAAAAAAAAGGGAAATAAGAAAGTAAGAAATAGAGAAGGCCCAGAAAGATAAAGAAATAGAGAAAGACTGAAAGTTCAATTAAAAGAAAGAAACGAACAAAAAAAGGAGAAAAAGAAAGAAAAAAAAAGGAAAGAAAAATAAAGAAATAGAGAACTAATGAAAGTTCAATAAAAAGAAAGGGAGAAACAAATATAAATGAAAAGGCGAGGAAGATCAAAAAAAAAATAGAGAAAAACCGAAAATTGAAAAAGATAAAGATAAGTAAGAAAGAACGAAAGAAAGAAAAACTACAAGTCTCAGTGAAAGAAAGCAAGTTCAAAACAAAAGAAAGAAAGAGTGAGGTGGGTGCAAGCAAGTGGTTATAAATGCGATAGAAAGAGAGAAACGGCAAATGGCGGCGTGGAGTGATTGTGAAAGAGAAAAAAAAATGTAAGCAATGAAGATTAGAAAGGAAAGTCGAAGTAGGTTGAAGAGAGAAAAGAAAGAGAGAAGGTCAGAGAGAGAGAGAGAGAGATAAGTATAGGGTGTCAATATATTTTTGGGAAAAAAGCAAAAAAAAAAAAAAATGAAAGAAAAAGAAATGTCTGCTCTGCAACAAATGTCTCCTTCCTGTCTTCCCTCTCCCGGTCTGATGGCCTTCCTAACAATTTCAGCTGGGAGAGAACGTGCACACTCACACACGCATATAAACCCATGATATATATATATATATATATATATATATATATATATATATATATATATATATATATATATATATATATATATTATTATTATTATTATGTGTATTATTATTCCATTATATATATATATATATATATATATATATATATATATATATATGTTCAATGAGTTTTAGCCAGGAGGTGTCTTCATTTTTTAGTAATTTTCTTTTTTTTTTTTTTCATGCCGCTTATGAATTTTTGTGTCCTATTCGTGACTTTGCTTTCGTTTACTTTTTCGTAGATGTTGTCATTGTCGATGTTCTGTTGGTAAATGTGTTGTTCGTCCATGATTACAATTCCCGCGCCCTTATCGGAAGGAGATATATGGATGTTTTGGTTGTTTGCTAATAAAAGCCCTGAAGGAATTAGCAAACAACAAAAACATCCATATATCTCTTTCCGATAAGGGCGGGGGAATTGTAATCATGGACGTGCAACACATTTACCAACAGAAAATGTAAGACCTCACCCACAACGACAGCATCTGCGAAAAAAGTAAACGAAAAAAAGTCACAAAAGAGACAGTAAAATTCACAAGCGACACCAATATATATATATATATATATATATATATATATATATATATATATATATTATTTTTTTTTAAAAATATGATTCCTTCCTTACATAAGAGTTCTCATGTTTCAAAAACGAGAGCCTAAAATTAAACTGAGTTAAAGTATCAAGCCCTGTTTCATCATCAAGCGAAAATATTGTTTAATACAGTTTATTATAAACAGAGCATTTACTTAAATATTTGTATCTATAAAAAAGAATGTATAAACATAAAAATGTTTTAAAATAATTGTCGGACTTTGTCCATTTCATTATGTGTGACGTTATATATATATATATATATATGTGTGTGTGTGTGTGTGTGTGTGTGTGTGTGTGTGTGTGTGTGTGTGTGTGTAAGTGCATTTTTTCTGATCGCTTGCACATCTTATGTCTTTTGCACAATGCCAGGTACTGATTGAAAACTGCCCTTTGCATAATATATATATATATATATATATATATATATATATATATGACTAGTCATATATATATATATATATATATATATATATATATACTAGTCATAAATCAACTCCCTTCTAGCCCATCTCCTTGTCTCCAATCCAGACTCCTTATCAAAACGAAGCGTCCCCTTAAGTAGCCCCGTACATTTTCACCGACTGCTATGTAAACTAAATTCAAAACCCTTGATTCCGAGACAGTCTATCTAGGGCTGAGGAAGACTGGTATATGGCTGTGCTGGTCTGAAATAGACTATACTCACATGAGGTAATTTGGAATTTTTTGCTGTTTAGCCTTCACTACTATAATCAAATCATATGTGCTGGTGTCTGGCTGTCGATTCTTAAGAACTAAGCTGCTTGACCCTCATACGTCGAATGCGACGGGAGAGTCTACCATACCCCGGCTTGACGTAATCGAATGTCTAGTCACACTGATGAGCTGTGATACAGCGAAACAGTCTGTCTGTAGATGACAATATATACGCACCCGAAAAACTTAAATTTGGTTGTGCACACATGGAAGATAAGTGCGAATTTGTAAACAATGACTGTTACTATTAACATTACAAGGCCTTTCCCCTTCCCTGAATTGATCACTCTCAGTCATTGTCGTGTTTATTCTTTCAACCGTGTGCTGATGGCTTAGGGGGGAAACCTCCGACTGTTGCCGAATTAGTCGGGTTTCGATCCCGGCTTAAAGCAATCTGATGTCTAGCCGCACTGATGAGCTGTCTGTGGGTGACAATATATGTATATATATATATATATGTGTGCGTGTAAATATATATATATATATATATATATATATATATATATATATATATATATATATATATATATATATATATATATATACATACATACCATACTATAATGATGAGAGAAAATAAATTTATTTCTGGGAAAGGGAAAATAAAATAAAATAATAATATATACATATAAACACAAATACACACGCTTACATGCTTCCAAATGCAAATATATACCTATTATTCAAATATGAATATGCACATCTAAAATATAATTTTAAATTTAATACAAATGTACACACAAATATCCAGATATAGCGATATATATATATATATATATATATATATATATATATTCCAAGAGGATAAAATCCAGGTAAAGCTCTACGTACAAGACAGAAAAAGAATATATTATAAAAGGCTCAAACACTCATATTCCATGGTTATAATTTATCACATTGGAATCGTAATCACAAATTCAAAAAGTGATTCCAATGTAATAAGCATGGAATATTGGTGTTTGAGTCTTTAAGATTATATTATATTATATTATATTATATTATATATGCACATTTACATAGATATACAAAATATTATTTATGATATCTATCTACATATCAACGTGTTCGATATTGTACTCATAAAAAATTTGAACGTATGCAGAAATATACGCACATTCATATACATTTATTCATTAAAATACTATTATTAATGTAAAAATATTATTAATATAAATTATTGCTCTGTTATCGAGCATTTTATTAGATCCAGCATTAAATTAGCGATATTTCTATTCGTATATATATATATATATATATATATATATATATATATATATATATATATATATATAAACGAATAGAAATATATATATATAACGATATATATATATATATATATATATATATATATATATATATAAATATATATATTTAGACATATTTCATTCATACATGTTTCATTAAATAATATAGACAATGTTGTCTATTTATTTTATGTAAATTCTTTTTCATAACGTCTGATAAAACTTAATAACATTATCATTAAACAAAGAAGAAAATCACAATATTGATCCATATTTTTTAATCCAATCTAAGCTTTCGGCTTACATAAGCCATTATCAAAGATGACAATTACAGTACAGATGTCCTGTTTGTTGCTGTTAAGGATGTTCAGTTTTTTTCTTGGCTATTTCAATTATCAGACGTTATGAAATGTATTTACATAAAATAAATAGACCACAATTGTCTATATTATTTAATGAAACATGTATCAATGACAAAATGCTGCCTAAATACACACAATTTAAATTACATGATCCAGCAGCCCATAATACTATCAATACTTGGAATTATAAATGTAGCCTTGTGAAAAGGCAAACTGAAATAACCAAGGAAAAATTGAACACCCTTAATAGCAACAGACAGGACATCTACGATCACATTCTTGTCCGTGTATTGCTTAATATATTGTACTGTAATTGTCATCTTTTATAATGGCTTATGTAAGCCGATAGCTTAGATTGGATTAAAAAATATGTATCGATATTGTGATTTTCTTTCTTCGTTTAATGATAATGTTATTAAGCTTATCAGACGTTATAAAAAGAATTTACATAAAATAAATAGACAACACTTGTCTATATTATTTAATGAAACATGTATGATATATATATATATATATATATATATATATATATATATATATATATATATTATGCAATTTTTATATATATTATCTATATATTATACATGCGCAGTACTTATTGGAAAGCGCTCAATACCAATATTTAGTTAGGTTGATGTGAGTTTGTGACCCTGGCTATTCTGACGATCGCAAAGGGGCGAGAAAACCCAGGGTCACAAACTAACATCAACGCAACTACATATATATATATATATATATATATATATATATATATATATATATATATATGTACATGTGTGTGTGTGTGTGTAAAATTTATATATATATATATATATATATATATATACATGCGCGGTACTTATTGGAACGCGTTCAGTGATAGAGCTAACATATTTAGTTGGATTGATGTGTGTTTGTGACCCTGGGCTTTACGCCTAATGCGATTGTCAGGCAAACTGATTATTTTTTTTTTAATTTTGGATTTATTTATGGTTGCGTATATCGGGATTTTATGGTAGGGGAAGGAAAAATTTTCATCGGAACGGCACTCATACGTACGCAGACATACATACAAGCACGTTTATGCATTGCAGCTCACACAGACATAAACATATCTGAACAGTGTGGGACTGGACGCATATGCGCCTCCATGTGTCGTTGCGTGTATACATACACAATTGTTCACTGTATTCAAAGTTGGATTATGTAGCGAACTTCTTTCCAAGTGGCAGTGTCAACGCACAGACCGTCCGTTTGTTCGCGGAATAATGTTTTCTTGCATACACATATATACGTACGCACGCGCGATCACACACCTTCTATCCGTCTGTTTTTTTTTGGGGGGGGGGTTGGTTTTTTTTTTTCTTAAGATGGGGTCTGTGTAAGACTATGGTAGGTCAAATTGTTATTATTTTTTATTTTTTAATGCTGTTTTGTTATTATTTCAAAGCCGGTTATTTGCTTGTTTTTGGCGATTGCGCTTATGTAAATGGTAGAAACTACAATTTATGCAGCGTTATTAATTTTGCTGTGGATGGGGAAAGAAGTAAAATTGTGGACTTATGAGGTACTGGTAACTGTGGTGCGGTAGTAATGGTAGGTCATTTGATGATAATATTAATTGTAGCAGCAAATTGTTACGGTAAAATGATACAAGTGATTGTATGCATGGTGGAGGAATGGTAATAATAATAATTATAATTATTATGATGATAGTTTGAATTAGAAAACAATTGATAGTGTTATGTTGTCAGTGGTTTCTTTTCTCGTGTTCATAGGGTCAATGATGGTTTATGTAGCAGTGTTGGTTGGTATATTTTCTTATCCATTATCCATTTAGTGTAAATTGTGATAATAGGTATTTGATTTCACTTTTGAATTTAGAAATTATTTCTAATCTTATGTTTAGTAATTCCTTTTATTGGGTGTAGGAAATTATTGTTACCTTTTCGTGTAGGCAAAATTGACATTAATTTGTAATTTTGTTGTAGGCAGTAGCGTTTTTCAATATTTCCCAGCTTATTCTTCGTGTAATATTTCTGTCTTTTAGATGCCATATGTATGTGGATAGTGTAGTGCTGTTTGAGTATTTTCTATCGGAAAATGAAAGGTCGGGGTTGTGTTTTCTTTTCTTGAATGGTCTTTCACTGGCACCGATGTAGTATATATATATATATATATATGTATATATGTGTGTGTGTGTGTGTGTGTGTGTGTGTGTGTGTGTGTGTGTGTGTGTGTACAGGTAAAATGAGAACAAATGAAGTATAGTTCAACTGTCAGTAATATTTTATTTAAAAGAGTGTGCAATACAGAGTAGAGTTAAATATTATTTATTTTAGAATATTAGAACAAAAACTTGTTAGAAAACGACACACAATTGCAATTATGTTTCAATAGTACAAATGCGTCTATATATATATATATATATATATGCATACATATATACATATGCATAATATATATATATATATATATATGTGTGTGTGTGTGTGTGTGTGTGTGTGTAATTTCTCTGTATATTTTATATATACGCTATGGTTATTGGTAAGCGCTTTTCAGTGATAAAGGTAACATATTTAGTAGAATGGATATGAGTGTAACCTTGGGTTTCACGCTTGAAACAGGGTTAAAACTCATATCCATTCTACTATATATATATATATATATATATATATATATAGTAGAATATATATATATATATATATATATATATATATATATATATATATATTTTTAAGCATTGTGCCCGATGCAGGGGGTTGCGGAAGATTTGGAGCGAGAGCAGATAAGAGTGATAGGAGAAAGAAAGAGGGAGAAGGATAGTGGGTAGATCAAGGTAATTGGAGATGTCGATTGACATTACATTTGAATAGTTGGAGATTATAGCTTTCAGGGAAACAGTAATTGGGAGGGTGTTCCACTGGCGAGAGGTGCGAGGTATGAAGCTATTGGAGTAGAAGAGACGGTTACATTTGAAGGTTTCTACGGTGTAAGGGTGAGAGCGGGATGCCAGCCTCGTGGGGCGCTTGAATTCATGGAGTCTGGGAACCAGTGAAAGCAGCTCATCAGAGCAGTTACCATGGAAGTATTTGTAGAAAAAAAGACAGAGAGGCGACGGCGCGTCTGTGAGAGAGTGACTGCAGACATGACGCTAGATCAGGGCCAATTAGATTACATATCCGTCTCTGGATCTTGTCAAGAACTCCGAGGTAAGCAGAAGGTGCTCCAGCCCATATATGGCAGCAATACTCCATGCAAGGGCGAATGGTTGTTTTGTATATTTGAAGTATCGATTCAGGGGAGAAAAATTTCCTGGCGCGGCACAGAGAGCCAACTTTCCTATATACACATATTATTATTATTATTATTATTATTATTATTACAAAACTTATATTTAGCGGGTAGACATGTTTGGGTAGATATCCCTGCTTTCTTGTTTATTTTTAACGGTGTCATTAATGACTACCGGCCTGCCTTGAACTTTTAAGAAATGCGCATTTCTCGGTGAAACCTTGCGAAGTCTATATCTTTATTTTCGTATGTGAATGCAAACGAAGTATTTTTAACAAATAATTAATAGATTTTATTTATATATATAAATTATTCCATATTACCATAAGCGTTATATTAAGTGTGTTTCAGTAGAAGCACCGTTTTATTTCAAACAGCGTAACTGACTTTACCGGCCCGGGAAATAGAAAGTATTGATAAAGAGAATTTGTTTTACGACGGAAACCGAACCAGGTTCCAAATTATTGAAGAAATAACCTTTAACCTGGTTGTGCTTCAGACCGCTTACACAATTTTAGTGTTTGGTTGGATAATCCTGTTTGAAAAAAAAAAAACAGTGGAATTAATGTCCATCTACATAGACAGAGAAAGAGTTCTTCCTACATTACACATCCCTGCTGAAGTTTGCACAAGTAAGAATTTTCGGCAGTCATCATCATCATCATTACATATATATAT